TCTGGACCAACCCCTCTGAGCTCCATTGTGCGCAGTGTCATGGGCAATGCCTGGGCGGCTCTGCCTGCCTAGCCCCAGGGCCACACAAGGTATGTGCAAGTGGACTGGAGAGAGAAGCAGCTTGTGGCAGACATTACCTATCTTCATCTGCTGTAAGGAGAATAGCGGGAAATTGTACACCGCAGATGGGACCCAAATGCACAGTTTTCCAACTGAAACCACACAACTGTTTCAGGACTTAATGAAGCTCAGGTCCTTAACATCTCAGCACAGAAGTAATTCAATGAGAGGTAAAGTGACAGGTAAGCAATAGATTTATTAATAATTTTTGTAAAGAAGTTGCAGGGAAATGGGATGCTAGAAGATGATCATGTCCCAGGTCTCTGGTGAGTTCCTGGGCCTGGCTGCCAAGTGAATGTCCTTGGCTTCCTGCAGGAAAGAAAGCAAAAGTGAGAGCTGGAGAACCACAGTAAAGTGAAAGCAGAGATACATATTCCATAGGCAGAAGGTGAGAGAGTCCTGAAATACGGGGTGGTAAGTTTCTATGGGCAGAGTAATTTCATAGGCTAGTAAGGGGAGGATTATTCCAATTATTTGGGGGAAGAGACAGGGACTTCCAGGGAACCGGGCCACCGCTCCCTTTAAAACATTTTATTGTTGTTGTTCAGTCACTCAGTCATGTCTGACTCTTTGCAACCCCATGGGCTGCAGCACACTAGGCCTCCCTGACCATCACCACCTCCCAGAGTTTGCTCACTCATGTCCACTGAGTCAGTGATGCAATCCAACCATCTCATCCTCTGTCACCCCCTTCTCCTCCTGCCCTCAATCTTTCCCAGCATCAGAGTCTTTTTGAATGAGTCAGCTCTTCATTCTTATCACGTGGCCAAAGTATTGGATCTTCAGCTTCAGCATTTTATGGTCTGCCTCAAATTGTCCTGGCGCCATTGTGTGTGTGTGTGTGTGTGTGTGTGAGAGAGAGATTCATTTAGCATATGCTAATGTATTACAATGAGCACATGAGGCCCAAGGTGTACCAGCGGTAGAATTTTCAGCCATCTTGGACCTAATCAGCTCTGACTGCTTTTCATCAAGTCCTCAACATCTCAGCTTATGCCCTGCCTCCTTCCCTCTTGTCTCAGTGGGGCAAGTGAGAACTTTCCAGAATCCCAGGAAGGCAGGAAGAGTTAAGATCTGCAATAGAGTGAGCTTTGAAAAGTGCCTCTACAGGCTGCTTCTTCTGAAGGTGAGAGTAAATAATGTTTCCTGGTCTATGGATGTTACTGAACTAAACTGGGTCCACTCACTGGCCACATGGCAAAACCAATTTACTGGTTGGTACTGGGTTGTGGTGACAAAAAGTGCAGCGTTTATTTGCAGGCAAGTTGTGTGGGCAGCTTTCATGCTGTAAAGACCCAAACTCCCCCACAACTTTCAGAGAAGGATGTTTTTTTTTAATTGAAACTTTTTTTTTCTTTACTTATTTTTGGCTGCTCTGGGTCTTTGTTGCTGTAGGAAGGCTTCTTGTGCTGGTTTCTCTTGTTTCAAAGCATGCGCTCCAGGCATGTGGGGTTCAGTAGCTGTGGTTCCCAAGCTCTAGAGCACAGGCTTAGTAGTTGCGGCGCAAGGCCTAGTTGCTCCACAGCATGTGGGATCCTCCCTGACCAGGGAACGACCCCCCCGTTCCCAGCATTGGCAGGTGGATTCTTCACCACTGAGCCACCAGGGAAGCCCTAGAGGTTTTTTAAAGGCACCATTTAGGGTGAGAGCAAGTTCCAAAATGATGGGATATTGGAATGTATGGGTTATCTATCATCTTCTTGTCTGAACATCCTACTTCTCCACACCATCCTACCCACCCTGGGCCAAAATTGTGCCATGAGATTTTTCCTGCATTTTCCCTTTCTGAAAGCCCAGCACTGGGACAAGTGCATGGGGCAGTGGACTGGGTTCAGTGTGTGCCCTATTGTAGTGTCAGAAAGTTTTCAAGCCTCTGGGCCTGTTTTTATCATGTTACAAAGGTTACAAAGAAGGAAACAGCTCATTATTTTCACCTTTCTCTCCCTCAAATCTGCTCTTCAAGGCCCAGTTTAACCACCCTTTGTTATTCAGTTGCTAAGATGTGTCGACTCTTTGCGACCCCATGGACTGCCTTACACCAGTCTCCCCCGTCCTTCACCATCTCCGGGAGTTTGCTCAAACCCATGTCCATTGAGTTGGTGATGCCAACCAACCATCCCATCCTCTATCGTCCCCTTCTCCTGCCTTCAATCTTTCCCAGCATTAGGGTCCTTTCCAATTAACCACACTAGCCCACAATAAAATTACCAACCTAATAGGTGTATTTGCATTTTAAGAAGTACCCATCAGAGTGGTCTTTGTGAGCTGTTTCATTCAGAGGCAATGAGATATGGCTCAGTCAGTGGAGGTGGGATCAAGTGGGCTCTTCAAGTAGCTGGCTAGATCTTTCCTAAAGCGGGCTCTGATTTTAAAATTAACAAAGAAGCTGGTTTTACAAGGCCAGTTAAATAATGTGAAGTCCCAGCAAGCCTCAGGCCTGAGTGTGTGGAGACTGTCACAACAAAAGTCTCTCTTTTCCTTCTTGTCAGCTCTCCACACAAGTTAACACTAAGCAAGAACTTCCTGTGTGACACCAAAAATTGGCAGAGAAAACTTCTTTAGGGTAGCCTTTTTTTTTTTCATGTGGAACATTTTTAAAGTCTTTATCACATTTGTTACAGTGTTGCTTCTGTTTCATGTTTTGGATTTTTGGCCCCAAGGCATGTGGGATCTTAGCTCCCCAGGCAGGGATCAAACCTGCATCCTCTGCATTGGGAGGCAGTCTTAACCACCAGACCAGAGAAGTCCCTCGGGTGGACTCTTGAACAAACTAAAATCTTCCATGGCTAGATACAAGTGGTGAAACAAAGGCTGGCCTAATCTAGTACCCTAAGTGAAGTTGCTCAGTCATGTCTGACTCTGCAGACCCCATGGACTATAGCCTACCGGGCTCCTCTGTCCATGGGATTTTCCAGACAAGGGTACTGGAGTGGGTTGCCATTTCCTTCTCCAGGGGATCTTCCCAACCCAGGGATCGAACCCAAGGACCTTACAAATACAAATGTTCAAAACCAAAAGAAAGCAAATTGCATTTGCCTCTTTTATTTACAAGTTTCACTTAAATATCTCTCATGGTGAGAAAATCAATGTCAAAAAAGAACATTGGTATATGGTTTATGAATATCAGTATATATTAAAGAACGTGGTTAATTTTTCCAAGTAAATGCTTGATGTGAAATATTTTCCAGGAGGCTAGTTAAATGTCAGATGTCCAAGGTGTCAGGGAAAGAGCCTCGAGCCTGCTCAGGAGACGGTCACACTGCAGGCCAACTGTGTTTTGCACTTGGTGACACATGTGGCAGCTCAGAGGACAAAGCAGGGCCACCAGCCTTTATTCCTAGTCCCAAAGCCACACCAGGGCTTCCTCTGCGATGAGAGCCACATTCAGAGACAAATGAACCACTGAAAATGTCAAATGAAAAGTAGGTCACTAGGGACTGATGATGAACAAGTCAAGCCGGATCCATTCTGAACATCTTCTTGTCGACTTTTTAAGCCAATCATACTTCTGGGGAAAATGTTAATACACCTCAAAGTTTACACTTTCATTATAATAAATTAGCTTTAATGTTCCAAATATCATCTCAGCAGACTGTACACATAACTTGACCTAACATACTAACCTGAACTTAGAACTTCTCTATTCATTTTGATCAATCCCCAGAATCAGCAGAACTGTATTATTTACACATATAACAATATCTAAAGTATGCCAATATTACCAACATTTCTTACCTAAAATAAATATGCCACTTAAAGCACTAATAAAGCATAGTTTATTCAAAAGTGACACCTTAAACAATCTCATTTTTTAGTTCATTTTAGAAGTCTCAATATCAAAATATTTACATACAAGGAATGATAAGTATTTTGGAAGACCTGACAAGTACCACCAACCCCCTCTCAAATCCCACTGTCCATCCTCAAGTGGTAGCCCATGTGCCTCAGGCCAGTGACAGCAGAATGATAGTCAGGGAGTCAGACACACTGGGGTTAACCAGGAGCTGCTCCTCGAAGCATTCACGGCAGAGTTCACAGTGGAAAAAGGGCAGAGAATAAACCAGCCTTTCTTTTTTCTCAATATGCCAATTAGAAAGCAAATCTATTAGGCTAAGAAAAAACACAGACATCTTTGAAGGAACAGGTTGGGAGTCTGTATTCTCTCAGCTATTCCACAAGTTAATCAGGTATATTTACGAGCTCATGAGAGGCTCTGAAACAGGATTCAAACACTCTGTAACCCCAGTAAATGCTCTGAGGGTGTGCCAGGGTTTAGCTGGCATAAAGAATGAGGGATTTCAGACAAGTAGTGTTCAGCTCTAGTAACGAACCTTCATGCAAGCTAAATGATAGAGATTCAGGTTTTATTTCTGAGTTAAGATTTTTCAGAATAAAAGGACAAAGTCTTAAGCACTCAAAAGAGAATTTCTTAGACAAAGCAATATCACTAAAAGTACAGGGAAACATCCCTAGGCTGTCTCAACACTTGAATGTCCCTTGTCCCGAATGTGAAAGTCATACCTAGCTATTTTGCTTTCCTTTCAGTGGGTGGCTCGAGGGGGTGAGATGAGGGGAACCATCAACAGGAAGATAGTGCAGGAAAATGAAGTCAGTTTTGCAGGATTATATTTGTTTCCATCTAGAGACACACTTCCTGTTTAAATGCTACAGCAATTTCAGAACATGAAATTCATCCCCCTAAAAATAATTTTCAAATAAACACAGACTGTGCAGCCCACAGAAGCTACTACAGGTTACATTGGTTTTTTTGCCCCAACTCTTATACTAAATAAGGCCTAGTTACTGAGGAGTAGCAATGGCCATTTATCCCACTAGTCTATGGGCAAATGTCCCATCTGAAAAGAATCTCCCTCCTCCCTCCTCCCTCCTCCCCACTACCCCTGGGGATGTAGCCAGGGAGCCTTGGTTAGCAACTGTACTCAGGTCCTTCACATTTTTACCTCTCCAGATTCAAGCTGAATCTTAAAGTCTAGAATCCACTGCATAAGCCAGTCCTGCCTAAACTGTCATGATTACCACATGCAGTCTTGAATTTCCTGCTTCCCTGAAACCGTGTGAAGTGAAAGCATTCTTCCTAGACAGTATTGCACAGTCAGCAGGGTGAGCGAGTTCAGCATAGCAGAGGGGGAAGGAGCATTTGGAGGAATTAGAAGAATGTTTGAGAAGTATAATCAGAAAGGCTAAGTACTATGAGTAAATCTGTAGAGATTTACTGAACACTGGAGGAAATTTTATTAATGAAGGAAAGGCCAGGAGTTAAGGCTCAGACAGAAGTTACCTCCTAGCATGGCTCAAAGGTTCAAGGGGTGGGACACAGAGGAAGGGCTTGAAAGCTACACAAATTCAGCTGGTCCAGAGGCCTGGCCACCTTCACCCGCAGCTGAAAAACCAAGAAAACTCATTCCAAGCATGCTCGCTCACAGCACGCCTATTTTGCAAGTTTGAGGACTCAATTTTTTTTTTTTTTTTTAGGACTCAATGTTAACAAACTAAATCAGAACTAGAATGCAGCATTACAAAATGTTTTCGCAACTAAAAACACACAAGTTAAAATTTTGCATAGAAAAGTGTCCTGTAATATGCTTTGTAAACCTAGGTCTTTAGTAACTTCAGAATAAAAAACAAAAACCTCTCTTCATAGTGTAGAAGTCCATGATTACACAGAGAGAATTATCAGTCTGCAGATTTTGCAGCAAGAGCTCAGAAGATCCTGGACTTCTTCATATTCTTAGAATCATAATTAAATGTACCCTTTCCAGGCTCAGGCTAACAGTTTTAACAGTGTCTTTATAAAAGGACTTGGGTTACATGAGCCCAAGACAAGTAGATCATCTCTGTGCTCTACTCTCTCTGCGTAGAAGAGGTGATCAAAACACTCAGGCACATAAAATCACTAGATTTGTTTTTAACCTAAGGCTGTTTTTTCCTCACATTAGTCTATAATTAAGCAAGCTGCATCTATCCGCCTGCCCTTCAACCATAGGGTCTAAAGAGCCAGGTTCAGAGTAAGGGAAAATGTCTCAGAAGAACATTGAAGTTAACCTTGGCAACAGGGTGGGAGACTCTTAACTCCTCTTGGAAGAGGCACCAATCGATTCTGAGTTGAAATACACCACAGTGACTGTGATGTCATCCCTGTACATCCTCGCCAAGTCCTCTGGCAACGTCAGCATCGCCGACAGCCGCTCAGGCTCCATCTCCCCGTATTCGTTGTTCCCTATGGCGTATCTGATCAGACGTGTGGCCGCGTTTTGGTCGGCCGCGTGGAGGCCCTGGGCTTTCCTCTGTTGCAACAGGCTCTGCATGAGTCCCAGGTTGGTGGGTCTCTGGGCCAGGTCTGGCTTGTGCTGACCCTCTTCAGCCAGGTGCTCCACCACCAGCCTCACCACATCCTCGTTGCCCAGCACGTCCCACAGGCCATCAGAGGCCAGCACGAGGAACTTATCCTGGGGCCTCAGCCTGTGGTAGGTGACCTCTGGCCTGGCTGTCAGGTAAGGTGGGGTGTAGTAGTGTGGGGGGGTGAACTGGTAGATGTTGAGGGCCTCAGTGTCGAAGCCCCGCTCCAGGACACTGCGCTGCAGCTCTTTACTCCACTTCAGCTGGACGTCCCCAAAGGCCCTGCAGGGCATGAGGACACCCAGCAGCCTGTTTTCCATGATGACCGTCCTGTCCTCGGACTGAGGATGCTCCCTTTTCAGCCGTGACAGCTCAGCTGGGTTCCAGGCATTGTGGTCCTGGGTGAGGGGCAGACAAGACCACATGCCATTGTCTTCCTGGACACCAAGGATGGCCCGGCAGTCACCAGCATTTGCCACGTGCAAGTGAACCCCATCAACATGGGCCAGGCAAGCCGTTGCCCCTGAGAAAGCAACCTGGAGTGAAAGGTTCCTGGTCATCTCATCTTCGAGGGGGGCCTGAATCTCTAGCGAGATGTCAGAATCCAGTCTCTGGAAGGAGTACATTAATGCTTCCTCAGTGTTCAGCCCCATTTCCATGTGCAGGTTTAGCAGCTCCTGCCAGTAGACACGGAGGTGATCAAGGTGCACTGACGTGACATCCTTGTAGATACTGTCCCCTGGGTGCTTGAGCCACTGAAGGATGGGCAGCAGGGGCTTCATGCTTTCCATGGCCTCCTCCATTTGCTCCAGAGTCTGCTGGGACATTAGTGACACAGCCACATAGTAGAAGAGCCTCTCGCTCACTGCTTGAGCACATGCGTGGCCACCATGTCCATCGAAGATGCCAAACAGCAGTCCATTGGTCTGCAGGCAGGCAGCTATACCTCGCCGGTCCTCCACTGGGGAGTTGGCAGCTAGCTGGTTGCTCTCAAACCGTAACACTGAATCTGGAGCTCTGCTGACAAGGTCAAGAATCTTGTGGGCCGACTCACCAGCTCGCAGGACCTCACTTACCTGCTCGGGGCTGAGCTGCAAGTGGAAGTCCTCTTCCTCCGTTGATGTGTGTCTGTAGGCTTTCCGCAGAGCAATGCTACCACATGCAGCGGCGTTGTCTTTTAGGGTGGCTGGCCCCTGAGGAAAGAGTCTCCATTCTGATTTAATCCTATTTGAGGCATACCTTGAATATAAACGTTGTCCCCCCTGTAATGTGGCAATGGTCTTCCTTGCAGAACTGAGAATCCAGTAGGACACAGTACTTGACATTCTGAAACCGTATAAGTGAATATGTTCCCTCCGCAAAAGGGTTCTTTAAATCTGAAAATTCAAGAGGTTAAGGAATTTAATTTTTTAAAAATAATGACTCTGCCAACACTTAATCTCAAAATATTTAAGTCTCCACACATCCCATTATAACATATAAATGCATTTCAGAAAATGGGTTTTTAAACACTCTGCACTTAAGAGTCACTGAGGGCTTCCCACAATTGTTTCCTTCTTCCCAAATCCTTTTCCTTGTTAGAATCCAGTGCATAGCTCCTATGTTCCCTCTCCCAGGTAGGCTGTGTTCTTTTAAATATATACAAGCTCTTTCTTGCCCCCCAGCTATCTTGGTAGCTACTCTCAGTCGGATGCCATCCAGCTCTTTAGGCAGGAAGACAGTGGCAGCAAAAAAGACAGAAAAGCCATTGGAGTCAGATCAACTCTAGGCTCCAACTGGTTATGCTAAGTGGAAAAAGTATGTGCTGGGGTACAGGAGACTCTGAAAATGATCAGACACGGCAAAGTGAACCTGGTCATCCTCGCCAACAGCTGCCCAGCCTTGAGGAAATCTTGCATAGAGCACTATGCCATATTGGGGCTTTCCTGGTGACTCAGATGGTAAAGAATCTGCCTGCAATGCAGGAGACCAGGGTTTGACCCCTGGGTTGGGAAGATCCCCTGGAGAAAGGAATGGGAACCCACCCCAGTATTCCTGCCTGGAGAATTCCGTGGACAGAGGAGCCTGGCGGGAGTCCATGGGGTTGCAAAGAGTCAGACATGACTGAGCAACTAACACTGGCAACTTGTATGCCATGTTGGCCAAAAACTGGTGTCCATCACTATAGTGGCAGTACCACTACTGAACTGGACACAACGTGTGGAAAATAACAGAGTATGCACACTAGCTCTCATTGATCCAGGTGATGAGCAGAAGCATGCTAGGAGAAGAGTGGTGAAAAGTAAATCATGCAAAAATTTTCCTTAATAAAACTGGCCAGAGCTTGTTCTACTTATATGTAAAGAACACATGCATGCATGCTCTGTAAGTTCAGGAACATGGCTGCCTTATTCACCAGTGGCTTTCCAGTGCCCAGGCCTCAAACACCGGCTAAACACAGCAATTTCAAGAGGTCCCAAAGCACACTTGCTATGACACTAGCGTCTAGCATCAGACACACGACTTCACTTGCTTGAGTTCCAGTCATCCATCTGCGGAATGGGAATACTAGTTTCATAGGGTTTTGTGAGGATTTTAAAGAAATATAACCCTTCAGCTTAAAAAAAAAAGAGATATTATTAGCAATAATCTTTTATTATTAGGTGTATCACTGAAGATTTAGAAGTTGTTTCCACTATCTCCCTATTTATAAAATACCAAACTGTATTGCCTAACACATCAACATTTCCCCTACTTAAGTTTTAACCTACTTTTCCCCCAAGGCTAGCTAGCATCAGTAGGTCAAAGAGTGTAGACTCATCCTGCCAAATTGATTTCCAAACGGTTCACATCTACCTCCATAAGGGCATGAAGTAAACCCTACACCTTCAACAGCCTCTGGCGGTATTTTTCCTTAAAAAAAATTATTTTTTTTAAGTTGCTCTATTTGACTATTTTCTCTGGAGAACCGGGGGTGGGGGGAGTGGGGGGGGGGCGTTTTTTCACTCCACGTGTTTTCGGAATCCCGCCCTCCACAAGTTTTTCTGTCGGGAGTAGGGAGAACGCCCGCACTCGAGGACCGCCCAGTCTCCCCAGCCCACCCCGCCGAACTAGGGGCAGGATTGGTCGGACCCGGCGCGCAGAGGGCGCCTCCCCGTGCCCCTCGTCCCCACCCCTGGCCCTGGAGAGAAGCCAGGCAGCGTTGCCCGACGCAAGGCCGTCTGCCACAGACCCGACCCAAACAGTTTCGCGTATCTAAAGAAAGCAGGTTTCAAAGTCAAGTCTCTGACCCACAGGCTCATAGATACGAGCGCGGCCTCCGGAATCCACCAAGCCCTATCTCCCTCAAACCCTGGCGCGGCCACGTCCCTGAGTTCCAGCTTCCCAGTCTATAGATAAGGCGAATTAAGTTGAGATGCTGAGCTCCGAGGGCTAAAACAGCTACTGCGGATGTTTCGGCACGCAGCCAAAGGTCCTATGCCAGGCTGCGAGCCCACGTGGCGCGTGCGCGCGAGAAGGGTGACCGTCGCTGTGACCCAGGCTCTTCGCAGTCCGCCGCGGGCCCGCCCCCTCACCTCACTTCACCTCCACTCTCCACCCCATCACCTGAGCCCTGGCCGTGGGCTGGAGCAGACGCGGGGAGGCTAGAGGCTTTCACATCCCGCGCTCGCCCCTTCCCTACCTCGGACCCTCGTCCTCCTCTCACCAGCCCCGAGGCCGCCGTGTCCGTCAGTCAATTTCACGCCCGCAAGCTGTACCACGGATACCCCTACCCCGGACTCAGCTCCCCGAAGGGACCTCTAGTGCTGCTGATCTAGCTGGAGGAGGAAGCATCCTTTTGCCAGCCTTTACTGGTTCATCTGTGGAGGCGGGCCCCTGACGAACAGCCCAATTGTCCAATGAATGAAGAGACTGAGAGGGCGGGCTCCAGATGGGCCAAATCCGGTTCCTCCCCCTCTCCCGCCCACCCCAGCCAACCTTTACCCACCCCGCCCTCTGTCTCTGCGGGTAGGCTTGGCCCTGGGCCTTGAGATTAAGCAGTCTTGCGGCTGAGCGCTCCCACTACGTGACACCCTGCCCGTTCTGCACACCTCAAACAGAGCAGCCTCTCCCATTTCTCACTGCTGTTCGTCATACCCCAAGGCTTCCTCTCCATTTCTGTCCTGACCAGTTCAGACCCCTCTCCCAAGCGCCACACCCTTCTATATCCTCTTAGACAATCCCCTTAGACGCCTCGCTCGGAGTCCCTATGTACACCTTAAATGGTGTCTCGAACTCATTTTTTTCTGCTAAACCTGCTCTTCCCCTCCTTCCCTAACCCAGTAATGGCCCCACCACATGCTCAGAGACCCAAGCCCCAAGCCTGGGAGTCATTTTGACTCCTCTTCCCTAACCCCCACCCCTCTTCTGTCAGTTATCTGATCCTGTTCTTCATCTCACCTCCAAAATATCCCTCTAATCCAAATATTTGCCTCCAGCTGCTCTACCACTCTATACAATCTTCTTATCTGGTCGCTCCACCCTGACTTCAACTTGGCCCTAGGCACTCTTCCTCTATCCCTGGAGAAGGAAACGGCAACCTCCTCCAGTATTCCTGCCTGGAAAATCCCATGGACAGAGGAGCCTGGTGGGCTACAGTTCATGGGGTCACAAAGAGTCAGACACAGCTGAGCGACTGAGCACACTCTTCCTCTATAGAGAAGGTAGGGTAACCCTTCTACAATTCAAATTGCTACTATAGAGTCTTCATTGACTGCCCACCAACCACTGGGCCTTGAACTGACAATTACATTGGCATGGCCACTGACTGTTATCACAATAGTTAGTGGTTGGTAGATTGAGAAAAGCTGAGAACCAGAACACCAGATACTCCCTCCGTCCCTGTAAAATTCAGGTTATAACCTGCTGCCTTACAGATTGCTTTAATAGAACATTTCTACTACCTATGGTGGGCTTCCCAGTTTGTTGTTCAGTTGCTCAGTAGTGTCCAACTCTTTGAAACCCCATGGACTGCAGCACATCAGGCTTGCCTAACCTTCACCATCTCCCAGAGTTTGCTCAAACTCATGTCCATCTAGTCGGTGATGCTATCCAACCATCTCATCCTCTGTCATCCCCTTCTCCTCTTGCCTCCTTTCCTAGCATCGGGGTCTTTAATAATGAGTCAACTCTTTGCATCAGGTGGCCAAGGTATTAAAGCTTCAGCTTCAGCATCAGTCTTTCCAATGAATATTCAGGACTGACTTCCTTTAGGATTGACTTGTTTGATCTTGTTATCCAAGGGACTCTCAAGAGTATTCTCCAACACCACAGTTCGAAAGCATCAGTTCCTCAGTGCTCAGCCTTCTTTATGGTCCAACTCTCATATCCATACATGACTACTGGAAAAACCACAGCTTTAACTAGATGGACCTTTGTTGGCAAAGTGATGTCTCTGCTTTTTAATATGCTGTTCTAGTTTTGTCATAGCTTTTCTTCCAAGGAGCAAGCATCTTTTAATTTCATGGCTGTCACCATCCATAACACTATGGCTGTCACCATCCACAGTGATTTTGGAGCCCAAGAAAATAAGCGTTTTTCAATTGTCCAATGAATGAAGAGACTGAGAGGGCGGGCTCCAGATGGGCCAAATCCGGTTCCTCCCCCTCTCCCGCCCACCCCAGCCAACCTTTACCCACCCCGCCCTCTGTCTCTGCGGGTAGGCTTGGCCCTGGGCCTTGAGATTAAGCAGTCTTGCGGCTGAGCGCTCCCACTACGTGACACCCTGCCCGTTCTGCACACCTCAAACAGAGCAGCCTCTCCCATTTCTCACTGCTGTTCGTCATACCCCAAGGCTTCCTCTCCATTTCTGTCCTGACCAGTTCAGACCCCTCTCCCAAGCGCCACACCCTTCTATATCCTCTTAGACAATCCCCTTAGACGCCTCCCTCGGAGTCCCTATGTACACCTTAAATGGTGTCTCGAACTCATTTTTTTCTGCTAAACCTGCTCTTCCCCTCCTTCCCTAACCCAGTAATGGCCCCACCACATGCTCAGAGACCCAAGCCCCAAGCCTGGGAGTCATTTTGACTCCTCTTCCCTAACCCCCACCCCTCTTCTGTCAGTTATCTGATCCTGTTCTTCATCTCACCTCCAAAATATCCCTCTAATCCAAATATTTGCCTCCAGCTGCTCTACCACTCTATACAATCTTCTTATCTGGTCGCTCCACCCTGACTTCAACTTGGCCCTAGGCACTCTTCCTCTATCCCTGGAGAAGGAAACGGCAACCTCCTCCAGTATTCCTGCCTGGAAAATCCCATGGACAGAGGAGCCTGGTGGGCTACAGTTCATGGGGTCACAAAGAGTCAGACACAGCTGAGCGACTGAGCACACTCTTCCTCTATAGAGAAGGTAGGGTAACCCTTCTACAATTCAAATTGCTACTATAGAGTCTTCATTGACTGCCCACCAACCACTGGGCCTTGAACTGACAATTACATTGGCATGGCCACTGACTGTTATCACAATAGTTAGTGGTTGGTAGATTGAGAAAAGCTGAGAACCAGAACACCAGATACTCCCTCCGTCCCTGTAAAATTCAGGTTATAACCTGCTGCCTTACAGATTGCTTTAATAGAACATTTCTACTACCTATGGTGGGCTTCCCAGTTTGTTGTTCAGTTGCTCAGTAGTGTCCAACTCTTTGAAACCCCATGGACTGCAGCACATCAGGCTTGCCTAACCTTCACCATCTCCCAGAGTTTGCTCAAACTCATGTCCATCTAGTCGGTGATGCTATCCAACCATCTCATCCTCTGTCATCCCCTTCTCCTCTTGCCTCCTTTCCTAGCATCGGGGTCTTTAATAATGAGTCAACTCTTTGCATCAGGTGGCCAAGGTATTAAAGCTTCAGCTTCAGCATCAGTCTTTCCAATGAATATTCAGGACTGACTTCCTTTAGGATTGACTTGTTTGATCTTGTTATCCAAGGGACTCTCAAGAGTATTCTCCAACACCACAGTTCGAAAGCATCAGTTCCTCAGTGCTCAGCCTTCTTTATGGTCCAACTCTCATATCCATACATGACTACTGGAAAAACCACAGCTTTAACTAGATGGACCTTTGTTGGCAAAGTGATGTCTCTGCTTTTTAATATGCTGTTCTAGTTTTGTCATAGCTTTTCTTCCAAGGAGCAAGCATCTTTTAATTTCATGGCTGTCACCATCCATAACACTATGGCTGTCACCATCCACAGTGATTTTGGAGCCCAAGAAAATAAGGGTTTTCCAGGTAGGTCAGTGGCAAAGAATCTGCCTGCCAATACAGGAGACACGGCTTTGATCCCTAGGTGGGAAAGATCTCCTGGAGAAGGAAATGGCAACCCACTCTGGTACTTTTGCCTGGGAAAACCCATAGACAGAGGAGCCTGGTGGGCTATGGTCCATGGGGTTGCAAAAAATGGGACTTGACTTAGCAACTAAACAACAACTACCTATGATAAATCAAGTGTAGTCTTCCCTAGAAGCAGAGGAAACTGGGAGATGACCAGAAAAGGCCACTTAGAACCCTGAAAATGTGGCCTTCTGAGAGGAAGGCACACTGGCTTATCTAGGGAGCCTGGCCAGCCCACCTGGATCCAAGGACATGACTGCCATAAAATGGTTCCTGTCAGACTTGTTGGTGATATGATATTCATACTGCCACTCACCCTTGCCCTTTTTCAGAAGTTCTACCAGTATGTCAGAATTTGCAATATCTCTCTTCCTGGATATTGAGACAGCTGTTTCCAACTTAAACTAAAATCAACTCCAAAGGATTCCAAATAAATAGATGCAGTTATTATTATTTTTAGGGGCAACATAGTTTCTGGGTGTCTACCATATGTCAGGCCCTGGGCCGGTGACTACTGGAGAAACACAGATGGCAGCCCCAACAGCACTTTCCTGAGAAAATTATATCATTCTGCTGTCTGAAACCACTGAGTTTTTCTTAGTTACCACACATACACCACTTCCAAAGTAAAAATCCACTCTTGAGGATTTTGTGTGCATTGGTACTTTTGTTTAAAGCCTATAGTGAGCTTATTTGCCCTATATATACATGATGGCTAGCCCAAGAACCCTGTTCAGTGTCCCAAGTCTTCCTTGGCACAAAGTCTTATTAGGAAAAAAAAAAAAAAAGAAGGAAAAGGATTTATCTCTGCCTTGAGATTGGAGAAGGCAATGGCACCCCACTCCAGTACTGTTGCCTGGAAAATCCCATGGACGGAGGGGCCTAGTAGGCTACAGTCCACGGGTCGCGAAGAGTCTGACACGACTGAGTAACTTCGCTTTCACTTTTCACTTTCACGCGTTGGAGAAGGAAATGGCAACCCACTCCAGTGTTCTTGCCTGAAGAATCCCAGGGACGGAGGAGCCTGGTGGATTGCCGTCTATGGGGTCGCACAGAGTCGGACAATACTTAGCAGCAGTAAGTGACTAAGCAGCAGTAGCAGCTGCCTTAAGAAAGGGGAAGCAGCAGCTCAGCTGTCATTTTCCAAGAAAATATGTAAAAAAAATACTGTCTCATTCAAAACCGAGCAAATGTGAATTAAAATGAGATACTGATTTTTGTCAGTCAAACTGACAAACATTAAAACATGATTAATACCTAATGTTGGTGAGTGGGCATTGCCTTCTTGGCAGGTAGGAGTATAAATTGAAGCTGCCCAATGGACAGCTCTTTGATCCACTAATTCTATGTCTTTTAATTTTACAGAGACAATCAAAGGCAAACATTGCAAATTTTC